TTTTAAATACGTGACTGACACTCATAGCTGGACAGCCTCAGGAGACATAAGAGTCTCAGGAGCGTGCTCTGTGGAACACACTTGTCCTGAACACGACCAAGGGACTGTGGGACTCGACTCCTTTCCTCCCGAGCAAGAGGGCGCAGTGCTGTGGGGCAGAGCCTGCTGGAGAGGTGATGTCTCCATTGCCAGCTGCAGAATTATCTGCCCACCATGGGAAGGTTCTTATTGTAAAATGAAAGATGAAGTTAAGCAAACAGAAGAAAATACAAACTGCCTGTGATCCTACCACCCGGGACAAGAGGTTGTTACTTTGGTAGTATTTATCATACCTGTATCTCCCCGGACACAGACATGTTAAAAAGAAATTAAGTCTGGGGTGTGTGTGTGTGTGTACACCACTGTGAATGTCCAAAACTTACTCATCGCCTTGAACAGAAATGACTCCCCATCTCCGCCACCCACCCGCCCCTGGCAACCACCAACTTCTGTCTCCACGGATTTGCCTGTTGGAGGTGTCTCATGTCAGTGGGGTCATACTGTGTGTCCTTGGTGTCTGGCTTCTTTCACTCAGCACCGTGTTCTCAGGGCTCATCCGTGCTGTAGCCGGCATCAACACTGCACTCCTCTTTATGGCTGAGTAATATCCCGTTATATGGGCGGACCACATGGTGTTTACCCGCCGTCTGCTGGCGGACACTTGGGACTGTTTCCACATTTTGACTATTTCGAATAATGGTACTAATACTTTTTGAAGTCCCATAAGCAGTTTTACAGAGTTGATATCTTGCTCTTTTCCTTTTACAGTGCCACCCAGTTCTTTTAGGAAATAGAAAGAACGTGATTGTAGCTGCACCCCACCCCTTAGAGTCTTGGCGAGAGCACCGTTTCCGTGGGGAAGGCGGGTTTGTCATGGAGAGCCTGGCTGTGTGGGCTTTCATCTGGCCGCCTGCCCTCGGGCTGCGACCACCAGGGCCCATCTCGGTGCCGCCTCGGGTCAGCCTCGCCGCGCTCACCAGCCACAGAGCTGCCCCTGACCCTTCCTGGCAGGTGGTCCAGGTTTGCTGCTGGACCAACACTGGGTCTTCTTCCCGCAGATTCTGAGGGCCCCCTGTACGACGTCGCCCCTGCCCAGGATGAGGAGAGCCCGCCGTGCCCTGACGACTTTGACGACTTTGTCACCTATGAGGCAAGTGGTCCTGCTTGACCAAGCACTGCGGCTTTCAGAGTATGCAGACGGAATGTCCTCAGACTTTCAGATGCCAATTTCTTCTTCACAATGGAGGAAACATTTTTTTTTGAAATTTTATGTAATTTTTAGAGGAGTGGGGCGAGGCACTTTGAAACTTACAGAAAGATTGCTTTTTAAAAAAGGGTCACGTAATCTTAAGACATCTAGTGGACGTGTGAGTGGAGATGTGTGTGTGGTGACAGACATCACGTGGGGGACCTCTGTTGCTGACCTTGGGCTCTGTCGGCCTCCTGACTTTCTGGAGACGCTCTGGTTCAGGGCCTTCTCCTAACCGGGTGGCTGCGGCTGTGGGGCTGGCCTCCTGCAGGGGTTCAGGGGGTAACCATAGCTTCTTTGGGAAGCTCCTGGGAGAAAATCAGGGATGTGGCATTTCTGAGTAAGAGGGGAAGCGTTAGGGGACTGAGTGGAGCTTCACCACCGGTCTTCATGGGCCGGTGCTGAGAAGCCACTCCTGTCCGGGCATCTGCTCTGGGCTGGAGGATGGAGCCTGAGGCCACCTGCCACGTGGGGGAGCAGCACAGAGCGCTGGGCGGAGCCACGGAGCATCACTTCTGCCTGGCTTCTCCGTCCTCCTCCTCCCTCCCACGGCTTCTGGAGGAGACAGCCTCCCAAGTGACGCCACGGCGAGTGTGTCTTCTGCGCAAATTTTTATCAGAAGCCTGGAAAGTCAGAAACAAAAGCAGCTCTGTCTTGAGACCTTAGTTTGTTAGAGCCCAGAGGGACACTTCCTGAACCTTGCTCTCTCCCCGCCGTCCCAGCGGGAGGTTAACAGAGCGTGTCTGGCACTGGTTAAACTTTTTCCCAGGCAGTGGCTGGCAGCTGCGGCAGGGATGTGCCTTCAGGGGGACGTGCAGGTTCCGCAGAGACTCTGCACAACCTGCGCTCCGGAGGGCCCCGCCGTGGCCCGCTAAGTGCAGCTGGCCCCTTGTCCAATGGAAGCTGTCCTCCTGGGGTCGGGGCACCTGGCATCTGCGGTAAGAGCAGCTGTGATTGCGTGAGATGCAGTCCGTCCTGCGCGGCACCCCTGACCTCAGAGGGGCGTCAGGGAGGAGGGAACGCGGGCGGCCAGGTGGGCCTCACCTGAGTCCCTGTGGCCGCCTCCGTGCCCCTGAGAGGACTCTCCACACGGGGAATGTGACACGAACACGAGTGAGCTCTCCTGAGAACTCTGATCTTCAGTGAGTTCCTCTTTGTTGTCAGTGGCTGTGGAGTCAGTTCTGATTCGCGAGTTCATTTTAGGATCTATAATTCGTAAGGATTTTAGAAGTTGGTGGCGTAGATTGGTGGGCTCCTGGGCAAGGCTAGGTCCCATCTGGGTGCAGAGAGAAGCTGGCACATCAGTGAGCTGCTTGTGCATCCCCACCGCGGGGGGCTGTGAGCCGGAAGGCACCGGGCTCCAGGATCATCTTCTGCCTGATCTCTTGGACGGCTGCTTGGGTTGCCCTCACCGATCAAAGCACACCTGAAACCCAGACTTCTAGGGGTGGACAGGTTGGGCACTCGGCCCCGGGGGAGAGCTGACCCTGTCTGGGCTCTTGACCGCCACCTGGCTCGGCTGCTCCCTTCAGGGGCCCCATGTCCCCTGGTCTGAACAGGACTTCCAGTGAGGAGACCCTTTATGTCCAGCACCTCACCAGGGTCCTTGTGAATATTGATAGCAGTGCCGTGTGGATGGGACCTCCACGATCCCCCTTTGTCTATAATTTGGATCAGATTTGGTAAATGCAAAAACAAACTCCTTTGACAAGTGGGAGACAATGTATAATTTATAGACTTTACCCCCTGTGGTGCAGGGAGGAGTGAGGTTTTGGGAACTCTGCAGCAGGAGATCCTCGGCCTGGGGCCAGGTCCACCCACCCAGCAGGGACCACCATGCACCCGCAGCAGTCTGACCCCCAGGGTCATGTCCTTCTTACCAGGCACGGCCCTCTGCAGTCTGTGGGGGACGGCCCAGGCAGGGTCTGGTGGCCCCACTGGCTTGTGTGGTAAGGAGGGGATGGACAGGGGTCTCCACTGACTGTCCTTGCAGACTAAGAGCAGTGCTGCTCCTGCTGAGTGTTGACTGCCCAGTCTGGTCTTTGTCTTGTTGATAATCCTGCTCTTTGCAAGTCAGTGTTGGGGAGGTAATGGCAGCTTCCTCTCAGATAACCCATCCAGTGTGCTCTGGATGCTGAGCCTGCTCTCCATGGGGCCTTACGGTGGGCTGCCTGTTCTCCTGGTCTCTCCAGCCTGGCTCTGACCATCTGTCCTGTGTGTCCTAAGGTCCAGGCTTGAGTGGAGCCAGCCCTGTGTTGTCGCTGTCTCCTGGGGGCAGGAGCGGGGTGGGTGGGCCCTGCCGCAGAGGCCTGCTGCGGGATGATGAGGAAAACTAGAGCCAGTGGCCCCTTAAGGTGGTTTCCTGGTTTCAGATTTTGAGCTTTTTAAAATTTTATTTATTTTGTTATTGTAGCTGAGAATATACACAATGTATTCAGTAGTTTCTCCATGTACCATTTAGTGACACTGATTACATTCTTCGAGTTGTGCAACCATTCTCACCCTCCATTTCTGACCTGTTCTTCCCCCATTAACATAAATTCACTGCTCTCTCAGTTCTTGTCTCATCTTTTAAGTTACTGTTGTCAGTTTGATCTCATATAGATAGTTCTCGAGCTGACTCCTTTTTTATGAATGATTTAGTTGCCTTAGATTGTAAGCAAGATTGGATGTTTACTTGTGGGTGAAAGTAACCGAGTACCTAGAGCAGGCACCTTCCATTTCAGCCCCTGCTTCATTCCCAGCCCTACAAGCCGGTGGCAGGACTTCCCACCCTCCTGACACGTTTGCTCTTCAGCTGACTGTTGTACGGATGCCAAGGGCTTTGAGAGGCCCCTGCCCGTGTGGGCCCCGATGAGACTGGCACTTGTAACCCCAGGTTACACGTGTGGTGACTGGGCTTGAGTGGGCAAGGTGTGTCTGACGTCACACACTGGCAGAGGTGGACTGAGGCTGGAGCTTGGGGTCTTCATGGTCCCTCGAGCTCCTGCGGGCTCGGCCAGCCCATCTCTTGGGGTGTGTGACCAGCCAGGCCCTACCTAGTAGCCTCATGGTGAGTGGTCACTGTGGCTCTTGTTGCTGCAGCATGTCTGCCCACACTGTCCACTTCTTGGGACCCAGTGCAGAGTCCACGTGCACCTCTCTGGAGCCGTGGCCCTTCTGGAAGCTGACCTGTGGTGGGTTGTTCACCTCAGAGTCTTCCGGGTGGAAAATGCTGGCTACTTTCCTAACCTACCTTTGCATTTTAATTAAAGTTGAGATTATAAATTGAAAACAGCCCGTTTAATGATTCCTTAGCTTCAAGTTCATTTACACAGTCCACAGACACTAACCTCTCCATGTGCCGAGCCTGGTGCTAGGCGTTGGGCACAAAAGAGTAAGAACAACTGATGTGTCCAGCAGGCAAGCAGAACCCTGACCAACCGCGACGTGAGGACGTCTGTGACTCCTGGCGTGCAGTTTTGACGTTAGACCAGGTATTTGCGTTTCAGAGCACCAGCTTGCGCGTACACAACAGATGCCGAGGGTCACACCCGTGCTCGGATGTGGATTTTGTGATTCTGAGTGATCAGGTGCTGCGGCCACAGACGAGGTGGGCTCTGCTGTGACGACGACGTGTGGCTGTGTGTCTCCTCCAGGTGTGTGTGTAGCTGACTTCAGCAACTACTCCAGCGGTCTCTTCTCTTGTCGGACAGGTGCTGGTTTTCATTTTAAAAACGGCTGAATCCTGCCTCGTGTGCTGGTGTCTGTGCTCAGCAACACACGCACACACGCACCGCTCACTCCTGGCGCCCTCTCTCCTAGGCCACGGAGGTGACGGACAGTGCATACATGGGCTCCGAGAGCACCTACAGCGAGTGCGAGACCTTCACAGACGAGGACACGAGCACCCTGGTGCACCCCGAGCTGCAGCACGAGGCCGACGCCGACAGCGCCGGCGGTTCTGCCGTGCCCTCCGAGTGCCTGGACGCCATGGAGGAGGCTGACCCTGGCGCCCTGCTGCTGCTGCCCGGCAGGTCTGTCCTGCATCTGTGGGGGGTGTGCTGGGTGCTGGCCTGTGTGCAGCATGTGCAGTGCGTGTGGGTCAGCAGATTTGGTTCCCGGAGACTCTCAGCCTGGGCTCGGGTCAGAGGGTTATTTAGAGCCCCTTTCATGGCCACGAAGGGCATTTGGACCAGGCCACGGTGCTGGCCTTCGTCCACCCACTGGGGAGCACCTCCTGCTGTGCCAAGTGGACTTCCGGCCAGGAGGATAGAGGGAACCTCTAGGAGGAAGACTCTAACTCACTCTTCCTTACAATGGGCAACAGTATTTGGGAACGTCTTCCGGCAGGGTCAGTGTACCGCGTCCCCCCCTCACCTCCTGGGACCGTCTCAGGCTTCTGTGTGAGGACTCGCTGGGTGGGCTGGCTGTGCCTAGGAGGGGCCCTCGAGTGCAGGCAGCTGCCAGGGCCCAAACAAAAGGTCCAGGTTGTACCTGTGGGACACAGCGGGGGCTTGGATGCACGTTTCACTTTGTTTGCTGATTTTATTTCATTGCATTTTTGGCCTGGCCCTCACAGAGTCATGGTTGTGTTTTACTTTCCACCAACGCGTGGAGCTCACTGCAGGCAGGCGCTCGTGTCCTAAATCACGGCTTGCTGGTTTTTCAAACAGACCGAGAGTTGGAGCCCAGTTGCCTGTAGGCCGTGACCCCTCCGGGTGCCCTGGCTCTGCCCCGTCAGTGGGATCACACGTTGTGTCCCCTCACTTCTGGCTTCTTCCGCTTACACCATGGCTGGGAGGCTCATCAGAGTTTTGTGTGCAGTTGTGGGTCTGTTGTGTGGCTGTGCCACAGCCTTTTTACTCACCCGACTGTCGGTTGGCATTTGGGTAGTTTGTGGTGGTGGTTTACAAATAAAGGTGCTGTGTGCATTACTGTCTTGGATGCCTGGTGTGTGCCTGCAGTGGGATAACTGGGCCCTTGAGGACTCGTCTGTTCAGCTTTAGGAGTCACTGCCGAACTGGAGGGTTTTCCATGGGGTGGCCCCTTTGCCGCCCACCAGCGGGTGTGGTTTTCCTGGTGCTCCAGGCCCTGGGTGGCCGTGTGTGCTGTCCTTGGTTGCTGGCTTGGATGTGCAGAACCCTTTGATTCCATTTTGTTGAGGATTTTTTGCATCTGTGACCATAAGAGTTAATTGTTCTGTAATAGTCCTTTCTCGTAATGTCCTGGTTAAACTGGCCTCACAAAGAATTAAGAAATGGTCTCCCTCTTTCTATTCTCTGCAACAGTTTATTCAAGATGGCGTTTTTCTTCCTTAACTGTCTGGAAGAATTTGTTGGGGGAACCATTGAGGGCCGGAAACCAGAACACCAAACGTGTTGCCGTCGAGTCGATTCTGGCTCATAGCAAACCCAGAGGACAGAGCAGAACCGCCCCCGAGGGTTTCCAAGGAGCAACTGGTGGATTCAAACTGCCGATCTTTTGGTTAGCAGCCGAGCTCTTAACCTCTGCGCCACCAGGGCCCCTCTAGGCCTGGAGTCTCCTTTTATTCATTCTCTCTCTGTCTTTTTAGCATTTTCAAATCGATGTGAAATTGACATATAACGTCAAATTAACTGTTTCAAAGTGAACAATTCAGTGGTGTTTAGTGCATTGCAGTGCCGTGCAGCCACCGCCTCTGTCCAGTTCAGAACATTCTCATCTCCCGAGACAGAAACGTGTACCCACCGGCAGGCACCCCTCCCCCAGCCCCAGGCTCCCACAGTCTGCACCTGTCTCTGAATTTGCCCGTTCTGGACGATTTGCTCGTGTGCACAGTATCACCTAGGACAGTGCCAGTGGCTCTGGCTTCATTTCTCCGTGTGGCCTTGCACCAGTGCCCTGTCAGATGTACGGGGAAGCTGCCCTTTGGGGAGGTGTCCAGGGGTCGGGTGGCAGGTGGGGGGCCTTGTCTGGGCCCCAGAGCTGCGTGTGCCTCCAAAACTGCACCCTCCTCTCCTCCCGCGCGGTTTTCCCTCCCAGAATCTGGGCACGTTGTTAAAATAAACACCTAATCCCGAAGAACAGAAGATGGGATCGCTTAATTCAGGATAGCGGCAGAGGTGTTCTCCCTGTCGCTGAGAAGGGGAGAGACTGCGGACAGGAGAACATTGGACGTGGAAGCAGGTCAGGGAATCGGTAAGCGGTACCAGTTGTTCCTCTGTCCGCATGTGCAGGTGGAGGCTGGAGACACGCCGATTTAGCAGAACGTCTGTTGTCATCCTTTCTTACTGTAGACGGGCGTGCTTTGTGGGAGAACTAGGCCACGTCCGCGTCTGCAGAGCCATGGGGCTTGGGGGGTTGCTCGTTTCCCGGCTTGCCCACCGCCTCGTGGGGGGGGTCACCTCCTCTCTGAGCCCCTCCCTTCTCGGGAGGAGCCTCTAGTACCTGCTCCCCGTTCTCGGCTGCATTAGTGCGGTGTTCTCATTGAGCCCCGGGGCGGGGCGGCTGCTGAGACCACGGCTGTTTTTGTTGCTCCAGGCAAGCCTCTGCAGCAGGATGGACAGGGCGGCCGGGATGTCATGGCCGGGGTGGCCGGGATGTGATGGCCGGGGTGGCCGGGATGTGATGGCCGGGGTGGCCAGGATGGCTGCAGTGACTGGGATGGTGGTGACGGGCAGGATGGCCGCGGTGACTGGGATGGTGGTGACGGGCAGGATGGCCGCGGTGACTGGG